TCGTAACATATAGAATTCTATTACTTTTACAAAAAGTTATCAGACTTACAAATACGTCAACATTAGAAAATTGTAAAATACAAAATGTAAATAAGTCGCAGAGATATGTAGAAATGAATGAGATAGTTACGTAGGTAAACATTTAGATGTGGGAGCATTTTTTTTATTATGCGGTGACTTTTTTGAAGATGGAGTAATCCGACAGTTCATTGTGCTTCACTGGTAACGAAAGAAAGTATTTCGTGATTGATATTCTTAATAAGATATAACAAGTATTTTGCCCAACCCTCTATCTATACTTGATGATACCTCGAAATTCACTACGTTTTGATGTCATTTATGTCATCAAATATGTGGACAATAATTTGAATGAAAGGGTTGCGTTTCCTGACTACACAAACGGTTATAAACTTTTTTGGAAAAAAAAACGTGATAATCACAAAATTACCTCCGATAATCTGGCCATTTATCATTTCATTTTATAAAGAACATTTTTATTCACAAAGTTTGTTTTCAAATGTTATTTGTCTAAATTTATTTAACCACAATTGCGCCAGGTTAAGTTCTAAAAATTTCGATTTTTAATTTATTCCAAGCGAATTATTATTGTGTCACCCATTTATATTTGCAACGAATTACCTTATCTGTTTCTCTTTTTCTACGATTTATTTTCGAGATAGCATCTGAATAATTTTTAGAGAAATATAACTCTTACGTTTCTGTTTAGCGTTCAGTAGATATTTAGAATATATATACATATAACACGGTAATATATATAGATAAATAGACACGATGTAATATCAAAATTGTTCGTTGGAAATGTGAACTTACGCTATATCTTAAAAGCTATAATTAACTATATTACTTTTGAAAATATCACTTGGTTGGAGAGACTTGTAAATTGTTGCGTTAGGGAACTACACATGGGTTTACAGGTTATTTTTGAACCCTGAAACAGTATTGACTTTTGTAGAAGAAATTATTGCAACAAAATGGCGAGAGTCCAAAACTAACTTGTCACCCTGTATACTTTGCTATATTTGCTGCCTAGTCGATGCATTCATTTTGTACTCGAAAGGTATTGGCTCCGTACAGTAGTTGACGGTTTTTATTAATATAAGGTTCTACTTTATTAGCTTACATTCCTTTAAGGCCATGTTTAGTATACGAAATCAATCAATTTATATTACAGGGATTCTTAAATCACGAAAAAAATAACAGCTTTTCTCGTAGTCGGTTCTGTCAAGTATGGCACAGCAGATTATTCTTTTTTCGCGGTTTTTTTGACTAGCGAGACGCACTGAGTCAAAAATATATTTTAAAGGGATAACAAGACAGTTGATGCCTACAGGTTCATTACCAGTTTTCCCATGTTAGACAATTACCAATTTAAATGAACAATTTCATTGTAGAGTTACATACCCTATTGGAAATAAAAATTTTAATTTCCTATAAATTAATAATGAAATATAAAAAAGAACTGAGAGTCGTATAAATAAAATTGAAACAGGTATTTAAAGAGAGAGAGGTAGGTGGCAGTTTGTGACGTCACACTTAATGGCGTCCTACAAGTTAATTACTACGTCTTGCTGAAAAGGGACTGGAGTATCCCTCCACCACTGACGATAACCATTTACATCTCTGGTGTTATTTGAATATCAAAAAAATAAATTTCTGTTTTATATCAACAGTTCATTGAAGCTATACAAAATGTTGAGTCAAATATATTGCAATCTTCGAACTGCTTACTTTAATCTTTCTTGTAGAAAAAAATAATTGTATACGGGTATAAATTTATACCTGGTAGCAAAGTTTATGTCAGTCAATAAGACCGAAGTGAGATCGATCGATATAAATAAAACCGATAAAATAAATTTGCCTTACTCAATGACAAAAATAAGATATAACTTTGAACACTCAGTAAATAACACACATGTTACAATATATAACAGTGAAGAAGATAGAGACCCTTAAAAAGTTAAAAATAGTGCAACTTTCAACGTGTTATGCTCTCGATTTGTAAATTCCCGGATGATAAACTTAAAATACTCCAGATATATCGCATCCTTGATATAATAAGGCCACATCTACAAAATAATAACATTTAGGTATCTAAATAGGAGTTATAAAATTCCACATATACATAATTTGTTTCATGTAGTTCGTATTACTTTTTTGGTTTTCTGAAGATAAAAGGACTTTTAACGTATGGTTACATGCGGCTTTATTATACCAAAAGTATTTAAGGTCTAATGAAAATCGTTCAATAGTAATTGTAATAGGTTTCGAACCAACAACATTTTGGTTCGAAACCTATTGCTGGTAATTTTTTGCACACTACTGTAGTTTTGATTTTGTGGCTAAATGTTTTTACCATAGTGTGCGTTGAACTTACAACCCATCGTGTATATAACAGAAATAAGAGACGAAATGTCATAAACAAACTATTCTGCTCTTAGACTATGGAAACCAAAGGACATGTTATGTTGACATATATAAATCAAACGTTATATGTTCATGATGCATTTCGACGTGGAAAACATAAACATGTCATTTTCTTTGTTTAACTATTGCGCGCCGTCTTAAGCCAAAAGAGATAGCATTACATTGGTCTGTGTCAAACACGGAAATCGAAAATACGTAACGTCATCTTAAATGCCCACCATGTCCATTTCGCAGTACATGAGGTACATGATACGGTTGTCAAAGAGAAGTACAGCAAATGTCGAAACAAATGTTTTTCCAAGTGTTTTATTGAATTATTCACATGAATTGTAATAAAATCGACAAAAATATTGACAGTGAGAACAATTAAGTATTAATAAAAATTCGTCGTCGTCATAAAGCTTGCCAAATTGTGGTTTGGATTCTTCAGATTGCCTGTTTGTTTGTATATTTTGATGATTGTTGCTAACGATTATTTTGAGATAGTGTTGTTCTTGGAAGCGTACATATTATAGATATTCTGTTATTAAAATAATTCACTACGAGGTTTTTATTATTTTATTATTATTATTTTTACTATTTCAAGTTTGCCTACAAATGAAAAAAGAATGATTGGAAATCATAGGACTGCGGAATACAAACATTGGATCAAAGACCATCTTCATTTTGAAGAGTCAAATTTTAACAGAACTTTAAATGTAACGAGATTACATGATAATGCATTATTATTAGGTTTATTGATAAATAATTTCATATTTAATTTAGATTCAACAAGACTCATTTACTAGGCATTCTCAGTTCATGATAATTTTATCCACTCGTTTCCGATTTTTCCCCCTGACAACTGTAACACTAAAAATTACTATTTTAACAGTTTCAACATTCAAGCCATACATTTGCATGTCGATAATGACTTATCGATAGATTATGGTACAACACTAAAGAAATCCGCCATTTGTAGCATTAAATTTTTGTTTAGATATGCACGTTTATTCTGTACTTAGGGCAGCTCCTTTCCTTTATTTTTTTCCATCCTCTAAGATTCTGCCATATCATTACGATGACAACTGCGCATTTTATTGACAGGGTGTCATAAATGGTTTCACTTCAATACGACCAGCTTAACTTGAGCTTTGCTATAATGGACGATAATTTAAAAATTACATAATTTTATATTTAATTAGCGATTAAATGTGATTCCATTTGTTTTGTAATTAGATGTTTTGCTGTTTTTGTTCCCAAAGAACCGAATGGTCTAGCCCCCCATAGTAAGAGATATTATCTTTATTACAATAAATACAGAATATTTTTGGAATATACGGAGACGTACGTCAACTGACCCGTTAGCGCTGTACAACTTCAGCTTTCTAATTTGTGATTTCAGCGTAAAGGAGAGTTGATATTTTAAAGTGATATCAGTACCATTTTACCGATGAGTTGCTAGGGATGGATGGCCCTTACTGTCTCTATTTCTGCTTATATACTCGATGTTACCACCAGACGCACGACGTGTCCTATAACTTAGATTCATAAAAAAAAGCAAAACGATGATAACAACGTAGCGCATGTTATACATAACCAGAGTAGGTTATCTGCTATTTATTCCGCATTTAGTAAATATATTTAACATTACGTGTACCTGATACTGTTTTGTTATAATATACATGTGACACTTATTGTGACAACATGGGTGTCCAAACACTAGAAATAAGAAAGTTTTCATTAATTTAGATAAGTCAAGCACTATAAGAGCATAAAGTAGAAACAACTAACAATATCAGACTTGAGACATTTATGTTTCTTAAGTATTACTAAAATTACATACGTATATACTGCCAAATTAGACATAAATTAGTTTGTCAATTAAAATCATTTATGTTAAAAATCTGGACAAAAGTATACAAAATATTTTATAAAACACATAACATGTAAGTATATCATAGATGCCAGTTGAAGTATAAAATCATTCCACTCAAACTGTTGTAATAACGGAAGAGATTTATTCTATACTTTTAATACTTGTACTATAGGAATCAATTGAATAGCATAAATAATTATCACATATTATACAATTCTAAAACTTATAATCCAAAAAATACTAATTTCGGTTCAAAAAATAAAAATTCAGAACAAAAAATATACATAAATAAATTTCAAATAATATGAGTATATATTATAATTAAATTAACTCCTGGCCTTGTACTCTCGTTCTCCATCCGACATCTGTCCGAAAGAAACAATTACAGTAAAATAAGTCATACTCGACAACATTCAAAGACAATGCCAAGTATGAAGCTTTATTCGAAGAACGAGACTAGACCCCCTGGTTTAAGACTTTAATTCCATTTAGATTTTTCTTTAAATAAGAAACAAATTCATTGATTTCACTTTTTTTTTCAATTAAATATACTTTAAATCATATTTAAACGCTATCACCTCTTTATGGCCCCGATATACGGAAATTAATTGTAAAATGCGTCCAAGCAAAGAATCCTAAAACTAAAATGATATGCACGCCTATTAAAATAATTCTTATAATATAAATATTAATACTCCTATCCAACTTTGATTAAATTGCCGGCAGTTATCCAATTTCCTAACTAACGTACATTTTATGGATAACGTGATCGTAGGACCTGCCGAAAAATATACGATTAATAGTATTTATATACCACCAATAGCGGCCATAAAATGCTTACCTGTGACAGGCTTTTGTTAATAATTAAAAGCTGTATTCCATGACCACATGGTAGTCCTTATTAAAATAAAATGGGTTATGTAAACCTTTAGCCATATATTGGCTAAAAGTTAAAATTTACAACATAACGCAGTTACAAGTTCTAAAAGCTACACTCAATTGCCTTATAAAATGGAATACAACAGATCTTGCGTTCTTTGTCAAAATGTTTTGACAGGCGTTTAAAATAGCGAAATGTTGTTCGAATGAATTGTTACTGTAGTTTTTTCAGGCCCTATGTAACGCCTTTTGATGTAACGTCCGTAAATAATAATTATTCAATAGCATATTGTGCCATGCATTGCCAATATCGTAATTGATGTTCATATGTACCTTTGCATAACAACTACCACCAACTGGGCAGGACTATTTGTATGTATGACATATCGGTGTGCCGAACGACATCTCACAAGTACATACACTTCACACTCAGTTATCATTGGGATAAACAGAACATTACTATGACCTACCGTTTAACTGAGTCGGTTCTTGAGGTAGCTGCGCGTTGCGGGAGTCGTGACAGTTTACGTAACAGTTATGCCACTCTGCTCACGGGATAATTACAAGATTTTTTTGACGCTATTTTAATAGCAAGTTGATTGCAAAAAGTGCCTACCAAATTATTCAATTGCTATTATGTAAAACGATTAATAAAAAAGAAAACTATTTCACTGATAATTGACATGAATAGAGAAGATATTTGGCACTTTTTCAATTAACTTGTTATTGAATAATCTCGGAAAAATCTTGTTGAAATTCTCCCGTGTGCATACGTAAGACATAAATGTTACGTAAACTGTCGCACCGCGCAGCTACCTCAGTATCAATCAAGATCAATTATACAATTTAGCAATGCGAATCTCCGTTCTCGTGATGTTCGGAGTCGAAACTGTTGATATGGCCTAGGCCCTTCGGCGGGATGGGCGGAGGCATTTCGTGTTCGTCTACCCGCAGTGGTTCTGACATTATAGAGATTATTTCTTCGTAGCGGAGCGAGTCTACCGACAGGTCGAAATCTGGAACAATACGTAATTAGTTAAAAACATCAACGTGAACGCAAACACAATAACAATAACTTTGAGCTTCTTTGCTCAACGAATTTCTCACACTGCGAGTTCCAAGAATTTTTCAATTAATATGTTCTTTTTTTTCCCAATTAATTAAAAAAATCCAAAGCGTTTGTAATTTAAATACCATTCATTTTGATTTCAGCTGTAAACTTATATTTTTTGAAGAAATAAATCAGTGTTGGCGTCTCTAGTGTCAGGACCCAAAGCGCTCTTTAAATTAGTTTTATATTTAGAATGCTTGTGTACTTTTTATGGTAGAATTTCGTATCTCTTTCACTGTCTTTTTTACTTGAGAGGAAGAGTTTCGAGCTGCTTCATACAACCAGCTGGAGAAGTGTTGGCCCAGATAGAGCAACATTTTCTAGAACATTTGTTATGTTCGACAGACAAGTCGAAAATATCTCATAGCAAAAGCGAAAGAAGGATGTTTGAAGAGACCCTAGTCTAGAGGCCGTGGGTTGAAATCCGGGATCGCACGCCTGAGGTTTTATGAGTGGAAATTTAATTTGAAATTTACCATGACATTTTCGGTGAACGAAAACATCGTGATGAAACCTATACGTCGACGGTTCACAGCCCTCGGAAAACATGTGAAGTTCCAACCCGCATTGGTTCAGCGTGGCGGACCATGGTCTAAAACTTCGCTTGAGAAGTGACCCGTGCCCAGCAGTGGGACGCAAAAATGGGTTGGTGAGTGTAGTGGTTAATATAATTAAGCTGTTAATAACCGCTCACGCGATGCGCTCTTCCTACCGCAAAATAGCGGCTATTTGGTTTCGCAAATTAGAAAAGCATTCAGTTTATATACAGTTTTTATAAATAAAAATTATTATTCTGCATTGCTAAATAAATACCCTCCGTATTACCAACAAAAACATCTCAAATAAAATGCAGTAATATACCGCAAATCCTGCACTTAAAAAGCACTAATGAAATTTTTGGTGTACTTGGATAAATATGATAATATTCCGTTTGAGTGGTTATAACGTTTACCATGAAATTACTCCTTATAGTTTATAAACATTTATATTCAGGGTAAACTTAAAAAACGCTACTTACGGTATGTTTTCAATAAATAAACACCGAAGTCACCAGCCCAAACAATAACACAGACGATTGTCGTGACGTATCTTTGAAGTTGTTTATTTTTTTTAATTGACAGACCCAGGCATTAAAAACTTTATGGTTTGCTAGAGTAGTTACCGAAATAGCAATTAATATTAGTTCTTTTACCTGTTATAACTTCGATATCCGATAAATCGGTATAAAAACATCACCGGCACCTCTAGGTGTGGTATGCGTCTACGGCTGCATGTATCGCGTGAGCGTGAGCGGACAGCTTGTAAGCTGGTAATGTTGATGATAAGTTACCGTTATGCTGATGACGATGTTCGTCGGCATTGGTGTAGCTGTGGTCCTCGCTGACGCCGGAGTCGCGTGTGTCGTTGCCGCGGCGGTCCTCGGGTGTGTCCACATTACGCGCTGCGCGGCGAGGTATGACTGGCGGGGGCTCGTTCCACGTCCCGCGTTTATCTCCTGTGGAAGTAGAGACAAACCTTTATCTTCACATTTTATACGAAAAGAATACCTTCAGAAGTGGCTCAGCTAATAATGCAATATAGCACTTTCGGTAAAGGACTATTTGAGGTAATTAAGACAATCTTAAAAGTCATAATAAAAGAGGTAATTATGACATGACCAACGATTCATTAGGACGCATCGTTAATCATGTCGTAATTACCTCATACAGTCCTTTAACGAAAGTGTTAGATTCCATGACTAACTAATAATAAAAAATAGGACTTTTCAGTACTATGCCCTTCGCGTTGAAAAAATAGCTTCAATAGTTGGTATAGAATCCGGCCGGATCGAAGAATTTTTTCTGACTGTTTGATCTTTGTATTAATAATTATAACAAACTAGTGGAGTAATTTCACATAAAAAATAATTCAATATCAATTCGATAAAAAATTTAAATACCTACAGTGAATAGCGACATCTCTTGCCGGGGCTGGGAGTTGTAAAGGTATCGGACTAGGTGACGAAATACTTTCATGGATTTCTCGGCTAAAAAAAAGTAGTTGAAATACCAAATACAAAGATACGACAACAAGCACATAGAAAAATTCGTGAGGTCCGCTGGTTCGTTCGGCTTAGTTGCTATAGCGTCTGGCACGGTATGCCAGAAGACGTCGGTTCGAATCCGGCCAGATCGAAATAAAAATTATTCTGAGTGTTTGGTCTTTGTATTAATAATTGTAACAAAATAGCTTCAATGACTAAAAATGAATTATATCCGACTGTAAATGTAACTAATTTAAACCATCGAAGTGGGGTGATCTTTTGTTATTTAAAAAAAAAAGTGTGCATTTAACCTCTCATTTGATGGAAAGTGACGATGAGGTTGATGGAGCATGCGCACCTAACTAACGCCTATTCATTCTCGTCTTGAAAAGGCCCAAGTTATACCGTTCAGCGAACAGGTCTGCAGGCTGGGAACCCCACTTTCACACGCATACCTTGATATGCTTTGGTATGGTAACAGCTAAAAAGCTGTTCACCATATAAAAGTGGATTAAAACGCTTCTTTGGAATCATTGGAATATTCACAACACAGTGGTGGTACCCCAGCCTACGTCTTATCCCCCGATGATGGAAAGAAGAAAGTGGAATTATATCCTGCAATTCCATCGCACACTCTCCGTGATCTATCCAAGTAGAATACCGATAAGCTGGCAACTTTGGTGGTTAGGTTATGGTTAAGAACCGAACCCAACTTATTATACCTACATAAGTAAATACAAATTATACCTGTGACTCTGGGCGGAAGCGGTGGCGCATCTCCAGGTTCGCTCCACGATAGCCGGCTGTGTCTTCGCGTCTCAATTACTTCTCCATCGATTGCGTCTCTATAAGTAAATGTAGTGGAAATTAAGTGACTAAAATTCGTTCGATTGTGCTTTTCGCGTCAAGTCCATCGATGTTTAGAGTGTTTACATTACTTGAGATGGCCTAAAATATTGGCATCATAAAAAGAACGTGTTTTCAATTGCATTCACAAATCATTAGGAATGGTAGCTACCTTTACTATTTATAGATAGATGTGATGATATTGTGTGATGTGTTTACGTGATTTACCTGTACTTATCCATAGGTGGTCTAGTAGGACTCCTTGGGTCGCCTGACTTCGGTCGTAAGGGCAGAGGCGGTGCAGACTTGATCATGTCATCGTTACATTCACGGCTATCGTTGATCGGGAGACTTGTCGTCATTATACTTTGCTGGTCTACTGCGTCTTCGATAGAATACTGAAATTTTGAAAGCAATAAAAATTTGCCATTAAGGTAACTCAAGCGAGTTAGGAATTAGGTAATATTATTTCTGTCCTTTACTGTTTCTACAAAATGTTATTGAGTTTGATTATTTAGTGTCCAAAATAAAATTAAACTTGGCCTGCTTGAAGCGCGTTCGCTATACTAATATCTTAATTTATATTAAAAAAAAAACAGATTGTGGGATATAGGTGACCTATGTTCAATAATAGTTAATATAGATTTGATGTGATAATGTACCAATGATCGATGAGAATCAGTTTTTTCTAAAACAAAAGACGTTTTATGCCAGTGTTTGGTGCAAGTAGTGACAGTCATACAAAGTCATAAGAGAGATTATATAAAACGCTGCCAAGTTATGTTCAAAACTGGAAATTATGGTGTTAGTTATGACATCAATGTTCGAGTTGTCAGTAAAATTTGTACTTGCCGCCCTTTCAATAGCTTGTTAAAAGTTATGAGATAAGGTAATTTATCAAATCAACATTATACTTACAATCGGTTTATTATAAAGATGTCCATCCTCGTAGTAGCTGTCGTTTTGTTGTATGCTGTGTGATCGCTTATCCATCATCGGAACAGGCGGCAACGGTGTACTGGAAACCGATTGTTATTGTTACCAACAAAATAAATCGACCCCTCC